TAGTAGTAGTACGTAAGTACGTAACGTACGTACGTAACGTACTACGTACGTACGTACGTACGTACGTACGTACGTATACGTAGTAGTAGTAGTAGTGTGTGTGTGTGTGTGTGTGTGTGTGTGTGTGTGTGTGTGTGTGTGTGTGTGTGTGTGTAGTAGTAGAGAGAGAGAGAGAGAGAGAGAGAGAGAGAGAGAGAGAGTCCTCACTGGCGGTAGTTTTCTTTCAACATTTGCGAGGAAGTTGTGGAACAAATCATCACACTTGTTGATTGAGAGTTGTACAAGTGATGAACCTAAACAAGGATATAAACACAATACACCATGGGAAGTTACATCAGAGGGAGTTACAAGAGGTAGTTACTTAACATCTATGGGTTTACTAGAACTACCCAAGACTTAACTATACCCTCCACACCTTGACATCTCACAATGCAGATTTCAAGTTCATAGGTGATTGACCTTTTTCTATTTTGTATCTTTCCTCGTATTGTAATCCCCTGGTTTTTGAAAGTAAACTGGGTTGATGGAGTCAGATGTATTTGTATTCTTTTAAACTGTTAAAATTCCTTTATTGAGTTAAGTTTATAAATTTGGCTATTCTAGCCTCGCATTTGTGCAAATTATCGATAGCTTAACTTTATTCCTTGTGCAAAAGGTCTTGGCCAATGAAGCAAACATCGGATATGAAGACATGGGCAATCAGCAGGCATGCTTCTCTTGCATCCCTATGGGCATTTGTTTTCCTATCATTCTCCTCCTCGTCTTATTATTACTAGCCTTAGTATTTTTATTACTATTATACTATGCTTTTAGGGAATTTTATCAAATTACCCATGCGACATGAATAATTTAACACGTTATCCATATTTTTTATTTAATTTCAAAATATCGATGAAAAAACACATGATCTGGAGTTAGATTAGTTACAAATGGGTAAAATGTTAAATAGTTCATCTCTTATGAGTATTTTGATAAATTTCCCTTGTTTTAATTATTGTTTCCTTTTCTAAGATTTCCCTTTGTTGATTTCGTGTCTTATAAATACAATAAATAAATGCAGGTTTTGAAGTTCAATGGGACCAAGATAAAGAACATTCGGCATCTTGCCCATCTTGTGGACAGTAAGGATGCTTTCAACTATATGTTTTGGTAAAGTATGCTGTATTCAGGAGTATGGTGTACAATAATCAAAATGGGCGTCCCATCCATTGCTGATGATGGAAGGTGGAGATTACTGTAGTTTCCACAAGGGTGTTGACTCAGTGCAGTAATATTCCACCTTTCATCCGTAATGGATGGTGGAAGCTCCTTGGATAATTACTTAATACTCCATAGGAATATGGTTTACTTTTTCTTCTCATTGATGACTATTCTCAGCCTCAAGGAACTCCTCTCTTATCTACGTGTTCTTCACCGAATATCATTTTTGCAGCCTGTAAAGATGAGTATTTGATCTTCGAATTTGAAGACAACTTCCTTGCCGTTCTAGATAGAGAAGCAGCCTCAATTGCATCACCTCGTATTCTGAAGGACTACGGAATCCCATTTGAAAGGTCCTCCAATTTAGCAGAACTGTACTTGGATTCTTCAGAAGATGACTTAGCCCTGAGCGGGGATTTAGATGACATCCCTGCTTCAAATTTAGAAATTGGATTTGACGGTCTCCTCTGGGCATGAATTCACTGAAGAGCTCAGAAGTAGAACGTGAAGAAAATAATCGAAATGGGTCAAGAAGGGGACATTTGCCTTGCAGCCATTAATGGAGGGAAGCCTAATTTTCACTGAGATTTTTTTTTTCTCATTGTTATTTTTTTCTTTTTCATGTATAATGTATGGATAGGCAGAAGAAGCCGGGCTCTATGAAGTTGTTGTATCAGTAAATTTATTTATTTTTGTGTTATTCTATAATTAATTTTTTTTACAAATAATATAAATGTGCTGCTCGCTTTATTCTGTCTATGCCCTCCTTTTGGTGTTTCGTCGGTTATTTATAAGAAATACAGGAAGTGTACCACACATCACTTATGTATAGTGTGGTATGCGACAGGAGCATCCATCATCTATTTCTGACAGCAGATGGCGGAGATTAATAATGTCTCCATAGATAAAAATTTACCCTCTTAGAAGAATAATTTTTGCCTTTTGTTATTGGGAATAAACTGTGGATGCCAGCAATGGTGCACTGTACAACATATTAGAACTAGCTGTTTATGGCATATTTAACATTATTTTTTAAATGAAATGATTTTGCGGTCCTCAATTTTCTCTTCTTTTTTTGGAATATTTATCAAAATGCGTATAAAAGATGAGGTATTTAATATTGGAAAAAGTTTATATAAGGTTGCAACCTTCAAATGTAGAATTACAGATGCGTCTCAAGAATCCATCAAAAAATATTGTTTTAATGTTGAAAAGCCTTCTAATTGATCTTTTCAACATCGAGATTAATGAATATTAAAAAAAAAAAAAAAGATTTTGAGTTTCAGAAATAGTGTAGTTTGCAACAGATTATCTAGACCATCCTTTTTCAAGATTTTCATGTGATTATAGATCTACTTGATTTAAACCATTTTTGGAGTTTAAAATTTTATAATTAGATATGAAAATAGATTTTCAGATAATTTTAAGAATTTTTTACTCTAAAATTACATATTATGATAACATTTGGAGGTGCGCCTTGTTTAAGGTTGCAACCTTATAGAAACAACACCCTTTAATATTTGGAAAAAGTTTACATAATGTTGCAACCTTAAAATGTAGAATTGTAGATGCGCTTGAAAAATCCATCGGAAAAGATTATAATTGATCATCTTGACATCGAGATTAATGAATATAAAAAAAAAAAAAGATTATAAGTTTTAGAAATATTGCATCTTGCAACACATTATCTAGACTGTCCATTTTCAAGATTTTGATTTTAACAAATTTTGGAGTTTAAAATTTTATAATTAGAAATGAAAATAGATTTTCAGATAATTCGAAGAATTTTTTATACTAAAATTATGTGCTATGATAAAATTTGGAGGAATTGGATTGTTTAAGGTTGCAATAAAACTGTACCCTTAATATTTTGTCTATTTGCAACTATTCCAAATCAAAAAAATTTATGAGTATTTTAAATTAAATAAAAGAAAGATGGTAAAGTGTTAAATGATTCATAAGAATCTCTTATGGATAATTTGATAATTTTTTATTCTTTTTATTTTTTATTTTTTATATATTTTAAGGTTAGGGGTGGGTAAGTTGGGATTTATACCAGGACTAGAAAATGTTTTGATTTTTAGCCATGAGCTGAAAACAAATTATTTGGAGTTTTTTATTTTTTTGATTGTTTCTTCTTTTGTCGGAAAATAGCTCCTTTAACGTTTCGAAGCTCATCTCATTCAAAGAGATTAATTCTACATTTGTTTTATGACACTTGGTTTTGAATTGTGTGATCAAACGTGAGAGAGAGAGAGAGAGAGAGATTCCTGTAAACCTATTCAATCTCCATGAAAGAATTGCATTCTAGAAATTAGAAACAAGAAGAAAACAAATACCTAAAACTGAACTCGCTTATATAATTGAAGGCATTAGTTGAGCAAGTGTGTGGTAAACCGTCCTTCCACTAGAATGATAGTTATGCTTATTTGATGAGAGTGCACAACATGATAATAATAGGAAATTAACAACCATTAGAAGGCCAATCTTCATTGGCATTTAATCATCACCAGTAGCAGCACCTAAATCAGTCTTCACAGTTTTCACGCATGATAAGTAGCAGCACCTAAATAGTGCTCGAGGGTGACATGAAGAATGCACTCTGGCGCCCGCATAAACAATCCCCTAGAGACTTGGTTATATTTTTTGGATCATTTGGTTTTAATTTTGTTGATCCATCTCAGCCTTTTTTGTATACCAACGATATGATAGTGCATCAATTGTTTTTTTTTTTTGTTCTTTTTTGGTAGGTTATTGGGGAGGAATAGGTTCGTTACCCACGAGAGGAATAAAAATCAAGACGTCTTATGGCACTCACTACCATTTATTTGTAAATTTATTTATATATCATAATCACCATTCAAGCTTTTTTCTAACTATTTTGGATTGGCTGCATGAATCTTGATCCACCATTATATTCTATTAAATGTAATACTCTCAGTGAGGCCATAAGTCATCATATTTTTTTTCACTACTTCCAACTATACTTTTTAGCCTACCATTTGTTTTTTTGATCTAACACATTACTTTGGGGAAGGTCCTAGCATAAGCACATAACGTAGATTCAGGATTCATGCAAAGTCAAAATTTTACAGTAGCTACTTACCTAACACAACCCCACCCTCCTTTATCCGAGCTTGAGTCAAGGTAAAAGAAAGTTTTAGGTCCTCAAGCTTCTTAGATCTCTAAATCAATTTTTTTATATATTTGAAAAAGTAGTGTATCACCATTAATCTCTCTAAAAAATAAAGGAGTCTTAACGACATACGGAACAAAAGAAAAATGTGGGGTTTGGCTTTAAGAGATTTTAAGAATATTTAAAGATTTTGGTTACTTTATTCCGTTGTACCCAAGAATTGTCAAAGTGGAGAAGAGAGAAACATCACCTACTTCCAGTTATAAAAATAACAACAAAAAGCAAAGGGAAGGATAAAGAAAGAAGCATAAACCCTACCAGCTTTATTCAACTACTCCTCAGACGTCACTCTTTTTGTTCGTCTCAAACTTAAGTAGAATTTGGTTCATCTAAAAGCCCAGAATATTAACATTCAAATAAATAAGTAAATAACTAAAAGCCCAGCATATTTTAGAATCTCTATAAAATATAGATATTCGGAAAGGTTAGCATAAGGTAAAGCCTGACTACGAATCCCACTAGAAATTACATCTTGATTGGAAGACTTTGAAATCGATCATCTTAATCTTGAAATTATAAAAAAAAAGAAAAGGAAAGATTTCAAGCTCGAAATTATAAAAAAAAAAGAAAAGAAAAGATTTCAAGCTCTACAAAGCTTTCTATACTTCCTCTACAGCATAAAACTTAAATACTTCCCCTTATCCAACCGTCCATGCTGAATGGAGGGCTAATATTGCCCCAATCACAATGTCGCGTCTTTACACTATTTTATTTTTAATTTTTTTCTATAAATTATTTTGACACCAAATTTTGGACTTGCAATCCATATTAAACTCGCACTAGCGAAAAATATTTAAAAAAATAATTCTAATAAAATAAAATGACTAAAATACCTCTGAAAGTTTCAAGAGGTATTTTGATTATTATATTTTATCAAAAAATTATTTTTAATATTTTTTATAGGTGCGCCCCAATGGGAAGATGTCACGTACCAAATTTCATATTCATACAATTTGTATACAAAAAAACTAAAAATAAAATACTTTGAGATGTCGGATCTAAGATCAAACGATGAGTGGTTCTCTTGATCAAAATTGGACTGCTGGATGGTAAAGGTAGCATAGATCTTTTATGTTATAGGGGAAGTATACAAACTCTTCCCCTAAAATTATGATTTTATAGCTCATTAACTTGGTCCTTTCTTGCTCTCCGATCCCACTTGCAGCTTTGAAAACCTAACTATTTAAAAAAAGGTGCAGTTGGCATACCGATGCATCCGTAGCTGTAGAGGTAAGGTGCACCTTCAAATTTTATCATGGTATATACTTTTGATGTAAAATATTCTTAGGAAGATCTCAAAATTTATTTTTATATCTAATTATAAATTTTAAATTTAAAAAATAGTTAAAATCAAGTAGATCTATAAACATATGAAAATCTTGAAAATGGACGGTGTAGATAATATGTTGTAAAATGCACTATTTCTGAAACTTAAAAGCTTTTTATTTTTCATGGTCATACATCTCGATGTCGAGATAATAAACCTTTTTCAACATTAAAACTACCTTTTTCGATGGATTTTTGGGATGCATCTATAGTTCTAAATTATAAGGTTGTGTCTGAATTCTCCCCTAAATTACCCAAAAAAAAGTTGGTCGTTTATTTTTAAATGTTTAGAGATCTACACTATTTTTGTAGGTTAAATTTTATTAATAAGGACGTGAAAATATATATTTAGGGCTTCATGCCATGCCCTATTAGGGGTTTTTGGCATTATAGGCTTATGCTAGCTGCACCTATGTAAAAAAGGGAAACTTATGTAAATCCCTTACTTTAAAATTTTTTCACACATCCACCCACTAATTTTGTTTTACATTTACTTGTGTTATAGTTTTCTTCTGCATCAATTCCTGGATGAATATTTTTGCCATATAAAAAATGCTTTTACCAGTCAAATGCGTGAAAATTAATTTAATGCTTCTTTTTGTTTTATGTTTTCCCCGAGGGTCGGTTCTGTTCTAAAATAATTCGATTCATAAAACATAAATGAACATAGACTAAAAATAAGAGACTGTAATCTAATTTTGACATGTTTAAGGGCCTTTTTGTCCAAAATATATATATATATATATATTTCTATGGCTTGAAGCAAAAAGAAAACAATAACTTGAAATTAGTGAGAAGGTATTAGGAAATATTCACATATTAACATGAAATTAGTGAGAAGGTATTAGGAAATATTCACCTAATTAAGAATGATCCTATAAGACCCTCATCTACTTATGTGCATAGGACCTAACGAATCACTATTAAATTTGATACAGATTTTTCGAAAAATTTAGTCCCACATCTATGTGCTAACTTTTTTATACATCTGTATCAAATTTAAATGTGATCTTTTGAGGTTCTAAACATATAAGTGGAGGAGGGTCATATATGATCATTACACTCATAAAAATTACATTTTATAATGTATTTTTATATATTAAATTTCACATTTAATAACTAAAAATAATTACGACTTCATTGTACCAAAAATATACGACCGGGTGCATAAATATGCCAAGAAAATGTGAAAAAATGCCCCATAACGTTAACGTTGGGTGGAAAAATATCTGGGGAAGAAGATTCTACCGAAATTTATTGCCACATAGACGAAAATTTTATGGTCGCCGAAATCATTAAAAAGTCGTGTTAAATGCTTTGAATGCAAACTTATTTTGGTTGTTTGATCACCGACCACCTTATTTTTTCAAACTTGGAAAATACAGGGACTCTCTCTCCTCTTACTCTCTCTAATATCCTCTCTCTTTCTCTCTCCTCTTACTCTCTCTTTCTCTCTCTAACTTCTCTCATTTAAAAGAGTAGAAGAAAAGAGACAGCATTTTGCTTTCCTTGGTCGACGTCAAATATTCAATATCAAGCTTCCTCATCTTCTAAACCAACGGCTCAAAATTTGGGCTGCCCCGACCGATATTTTGGTTGAAATGTCGGCCATTTTGAGGGGACCAAGTGACCTGAGTATTAAAATAGAAAGATAAGGGGGCGGGCAATGGTCTAGTTTAGGTGGATTTAGTCAATGAGAAATGTCATTTTTCCAATAAATTAAAGATATTATCCATGAAAATTTCATAGAAATCTCATTTCATTATTCAGATTAGTAATAATTATTTTTAGGAAAATGTTTTGAGCATATACAAATTTTGCTGTGAGAGGTGGTTCGAGTATCACCAATAACATACATGATTGCTTGAAAATCTATTATCATTCTATAGTTAGGAAATTTAATATTTCAAAAATATTATGGATCGAACAAATTTATAAATATTTAAAAATCTTGAACAAATGGTTTATATAACTTGTTACCGGTTGCACTATTTTTAAGACTTGGATTTTTTTTTTTTTTTTTTCATATACATACATCTCGAGGGCGAGGTCGATTAGAAGGTATTCTAAAGTCAACAATATCTTTGGGAGTCTTTTTACAATGCACCTTATTTCAATAGTTAAAGGTTCATCATCATCATCAAGCTTCATTCCAACTATTTTGGTCATGTCCCTTTATTCTGCTCTATCAAGGGGTATATCCTCACTAAAACTACTAGAAGTCCCCAATATTTTCTTATTACTTCCATCTATATATTTGTGTGCCTTTTCTTTACCCTTTTAGAAGCTTTCTATTTGAACCGAATCACACATCCTTAATGCTATTATATTGATCTGCGCATTTAAGCCTACGTTCTCTCATCTCATTACTTATTGAAGCCGCACCTAAGTTCTTTCAAAGCTTTAATCCTAAATCTAAATTAAAAAATGACCCCTTAATTCGTTTCTAGTACTATTTATGCATAATTCTTATCACACGAAAATCACTTGTAATTTTTTTTGCATTTGATGCTTCAAATGCAAGTAGGTATAGAGAGAGAGAGATTATGAGGGCCTACCTAAACCAAAAGATTTTGACCAAAAGAGAGGTCGAGGTTTCACTTCTACACCACCGCTCCCAGGCCCAGGAGAGAGAAAAAGATTTGGAAACTCCACTCTAGAGAGAGAAAGAGAGGTCGACGTCGCACGCTTCCCACGCTATGTAGGTCCATGTACCACCCTCGAAATTCGAACACCTAAACAATGTTTTTTTGACCAAAACAGGGAAAAGAGGAGAGAGAGAGAAAAAAGGAGAGAGAAAATCTTAAAAAGAGAAGAGAGAGATAGGGGAGAGAGAAAGAGAGGGGACATAGAAAACCTTAAAGCATTGTTCACAAAATTGTTAGATCTAACCGCTAGTTATCCGCTTTGATCGGAACCGGCCAATTGCCGGTTTTGGTTTTGGACGGTTAAAGTGATCAACTGGTATTTAAAAAAAAATAAAAAAATGTATGTAAATTTACAAAAGTAAAAAATTTGATTTGTAATGCATTTTTAAATATTTTTTACATCAGAGTAAATATTAAAAAAAATTTGGTCATTAATACTCACTTCTATATTTTCCTATTTTTTTTAGAAAATTTAAAAAATAGCTCTTCGAAAATATAAAAAATGGGTTAAAACCCATTTTTTCATTAATTTTCAATTTTATTTGAATGTGTTTTGTTTTAATCATTCTTTATATGTTTTTCATATTTATTTTTATTTTTTTCAACATTTTTTTGACCGTCCGAGACTTGTCCGATTAAAGCGGTTGAATCGACTGGTTTACCGATTAAGTCGGTTAAACCGCTTCCAAATCCATGTCCGGCTAACTGTTCCGGTTCGATTTTACGAATACGGCCGTAAAAAGAGGGGAGAGAAAAAAATGCTAGAGGGAACCTTAGAAAGAGAGGAGAGAAAATCTTAGAGAGAGAGAGAGGGGGAGAAAGGGAGAGGGGCCTCGTGTAGATTCGCACACGTGCTCACATGGCAAGGGCAGTCCAGAACAGCTGCAATCTAAACTAACAAACCAACGAAAACGACATTCTCATCGGTCAATGGAGCCTATTAGGAAAAAGCACATTTTGTTATAAAATATATTTGATGGAATTACCCTGAATTTGCTAACGTGGAATTCGTCAAAACATTGCAATTTTTCGTAGCAATTGAAAACAATTATAATGTGGAAAAATCCACCCGCTCAATGGAGATGACCTTTCTTTCGTTCTTGAGAGCTACACGTTATGGAAAAGACTTAATTTAATAAATTAATAAATATTTGAGGGTATTCAAGAAAATATAAACAATGAGGAATGGAAAAATCAATTTCAAACCGTTCAATCCCAATGTAAAATCTTCTATCTTTCAATTTGATAAATCGGCAAAAAGACTTAGAAGCCCTGGGTTGTTGGGAAAATAATTCATCACTTTTATGATTTAAAACTTATTAATAAATTGATTTGTATGGGTTCTAGTTTATTCATAATCGGTTCAAAGATTTAATTTTAAAATAAAAATAATAATCTTAAAAATAATATATATTATAAAAAATTCACCCTTATACTGGATTGAAAACATCGGTTTAGACTGTCTATATTTTACGAAACTTAGTTTTTTCTTTGAACCTACCGGCCAAGGCACTAATTGGGTCCGATGAGTTGGGATCATGCCAACTTTCTTAAACAAAATAAGCAACTCAATCATTGATATCTAAATAAATCAAGGGAAATTATAAAATGAGATCCTTTTACTTTTGGTAGAAGGTGGTCTCATTAATCTTGACCATTAGATGTGAAATTGGGTAGTGATAATTATTCTATTACTAAACTCAAACTTCAAAAAAAAATTTATCGAACTCTACGACGCATCCAAACTATCAAATTTCACATCAGATGGTTGTGAATAATTGTGATCAGGTTGCATCAAATTTTAATGGTCTCGATATATACGATCCCATAAATCAAATGTTAGAATAGACAATGTAGCAATAAAATAGTGGCCCTATTTGGCATTTGTAGCAAAGACAAGGTTAAGCTGGTCCAGAATATTGAGACCAGTATTACCATGCTCTCTCATTCTTCCAGTCCATGCAAAAGCCCTTGGTTTGGAAGCTGACCACCACCTTCTTCCATTCATTCATGGCTGCCGTCTTCTAAAAACCAGTCAAAATAGGCGGCCATCTCGACCACAAGACCCTAAAATTTCAGCGTAACAAACAGTAGTAGAATTGAACAATAACCAGATGGAAGAACTGAGCAATAACCAGAGGAAGAGGGAGCTCAAAAGATAATGTCATCCTGGAGTTTCTCTGATTGGTGCGGCCTCCATGAATGAACAACGCTTCACGATTCGAAGAAAAGGGCTTGGTTTTCAGGAAGGGAGAGAATTGAATAAAAAACAGCGAAAAAGGAGTTCAGAATATCCGTTTTCATGGAGAGACTCTGATAGGCATGGCCATCATGAGAGAACGAAGCTCCAGATTTAGCAGGCTTTCATGGAGGCTCTTTATGTTCATCACACTGATACTCTTTGTAACTATAGCTTCTGCTTCAACACCAGGTACTAATTCAAAGCTCTAAATGCCAAAAAATTTCTCTTATGTGTGATCGTAACGAGTATTTCGGCTAAAACATTTCTGGTTTTTTCTCACAGAACAAGACAGAGAAGTCCTCTTGAATTTCAAGTCCTTTCTATTGAGGAAAAATCCAGTAAACAGAGGAAGATACGACCATTGGAACGAGAGCATCTATCACTGTCAATGGCCAGGAATTAATTGCACAGGCGATAGAGTAACTGGAATTTCTCTCTCAGACTGTAACATTCAAGGTCCACTTTATGCAAATTTCTCAAGTTTAACAGAGCTCGAGTACCTGGATTTCTCGAGAAACACACTCTCAGGTCCAATTCCATTTGATTTCAGCCTATGCAACAATCTCCGGTTACTGAATCTCTCTTACAACATATTGGATGGGACTTTGAACTTGACTGGTTTACCAAGCCTCGAAACCCTAGATCTCACAGTGAACAGGCTCAATGGAGGAATTCAGCTGAGTTTTCCCGCCATCTGTAACAACTTGATAAACGTCAATCTGTCCACAAACAGATTTTCAGGCAATATTCTTGGCTCTTTTGATGACTGTCAAAAATTACAGAGCTTAGACTTAAGCTCGAATAATTTTTCAGGCGACATATGGCAGGGTTTTACAAGGTTGAAAGAGTTTTCTGTATCTGAAAACTTCCTTTCAGGAGAGATTAGTGCCGGAATTTTTGCCGGAAATTGCGGCCTCCATCTCCTGGACTTGTCGGAAAATGCTTTTCAGGGGACCGTTCCACCAGAAATTTCAAACTGTCAAGCCCTAGAGTGGCTGAATGTATGGGGAAACAATTTTACTGGTAATATACCATCTCAAATCGGGTCTTTGAGGAATCTGGTGTCGCTCTTTTTAGGAAACAACAGCTTTTCAAGAGAAATTCCAGCTAGTTTAGAAAACTGTACAAGCTTAAGGTTCCTCGACCTGAGCAGAAATAATTTCGGAGGAGTAATCCAACCAGTTATAAGCAAGTTTGTTCAGATTAAACTCTTGGTTTTACATGGAAATGGATATAAAGATGGGCTCTTAAGCTCCGGAATTCTCAATATGCCTAATATTTCTCGGCTCGATCTGAGCTTAAACGAATTTTCAGGCAATTTGCCGGCAGAAATCGCACAAATGTCAAGCCTGAAATTCTTAATCCTCGCTTACAACAAATTTTCAGGAAATATACCACCTGAATTTGGCAATTTATCAAAGCTTCAAGCCCTGGATCTCTCTTACAATAAATTAACAGGCAGCATTCCGGCTACTTTTGGGAAACTGAGTTCTCTGCTATGGCTAATGTTGGCCGGAAATTCACTTTCCGGCGAAATCCCACCGGAAATTGGCAATTGCAATAGCTTGCTTTGGGTAAACCTCGCTGATAACAAACTTTCAGGCAAGATTCCGGATGAAATTGCACAGATGGGAATAAACCCTAACTTGACCTTCGAGTATAACAGAGCGAACATGAAAGTTGCAGTTGGTTCAGGCGAATGCTTGGCCATGAAAAGATGGATTCCCGCTAATTATCCGCCCTTTAGCTTTGTGTACACGCTTCTCACCAGAAAAAGTTGCAGAGGAATATGGGACCGGGTTTTGAAGGGTTATGGTCTCTTTCCGATTTGTCTCAACAACTCCGGGAGTTCACCTCGAACCCTGACTGTTTCCGGTTACCTGCAACTCACCGGCAACAATTTTTCCGGCGAGATTCCCACGACAATCGGAAATATGAAGAAGCTCAGCCTCCTCCATCTCGGATCCAACAACTTCTCGGGCCATCTCCCACCTGAACTCGCTCAAATCCCTCTCGTTGTGCTCAACGTCTCGAGAAATGGATTTACCGGCGATATTCCGGCGAGATTAGGCTCCATGGCTTGCCTACAGAACCTGGATCTCTCCGTCAACAACTTTTCAGGCGATTTCCCGGCGAGTTTCAGAGGATTGACCGATCTCAGCAAGTTCAACCTCTCGTATAACCCCTTCCTCACTGGCACGGTTCGTGCATCTGGTCAACTCGGCACCTTTGAGGCGGACTCGTTCCTAGGCGTCCCGCTCCTCTGTGTAGAGTCCCTGAAAAACTCGGCAGCTTGCACAAACAATTGGACAACCGATTCTAAGCAAGCAGGCAAAAAGGGAAGTAGGGGAATTGCCGGAAGGCCTGTAACCCTAGCCATAATCCTCGCTTCTTTATCGGTTTCCATAGTCTTTCTTCTGTTATGGTTAGCTACCTTAACCGTCTTCTTCTTTCCTAAAAACCCTAGCAAACCAGATGAGGAAGACTCGACCGTGTTTGCCCTAATGTCATCAAAGCGACGCCACGACCAAGTTTCATCGAGTACGTTCTCCTCAACGTCGCCTGACTCGTCCGATTCCGTTTACGTTTTCCGTGTAGACAGCAAGCCTTTCACTTATTCGGACATTCTAGAGGCGACGGAAAATTTCTCAGATAGACGGATAATTGGACGGGGAGGATACGCCACCGTGTACAGGGGCATGTTGCCCGATGGCCGCCACGTGGCAGTGAAGAGGCTGAGGCAACAAGGGGCAGAGGCTGAAAGAGAATTTGAAGCCGAAATGGAGACCCTGAGCCGCGGTGCACGACACCCAAATCTTGTGATACTTTACGGGTGGTGTATGTTCGGCGAGGAGAAGGCGCTTGTGTACGAATACATGGAGGGAGGGAGCTTAGAGGAGTGGCTTGAAGGCAAGAAAGGGGTTTTTATGGGGTGGCGCATGAGATTTGAGGTTGTGTATGGAGTGGCGAAGGGGCTCGCTTATCTCCACCACGAGTGCATGCCGGCGATTGTGCACCGGGATGTGAAGGCGAGCAACATTATGTTGGAGGGGGACGGGGGCGGTGCTCGTGTCGGAGACTTCGGGTTGGCACGTGTGGTTGGAGTGGGCTCCACGCATGTGTCAACAGTAGTTGCCGGGACTGTGGGATACGTTGCTCCAGAGTATGGTCAGACATGGAAGGCGACTACGAAAGGGGATGTGTATAGTTTTGGGGTGCTGGTTTTGGAGGTGCTGACCGGGAGGAGGGCGGTGGGGAATGAGGAGACTTTGGTGGAGTGGGTTAGGAGGGTGGTGGAGGAAAAGGGTTGGAGGGGGGCTGTGCATGAGGGGTTGTGTATGGAGGAGGGCAAAGGCATCAACCTCTATGGTAGACAGGTGGAGGGGCTGGTGGAGGTGGGGCTGAGGTGCACAGAGGAGAAGCCTTGTAAGAGGCCGGATATGAAGGAGGTGGTGGCCATGCTCCTCGGATGCCGAGGCGGCGGTGTTGGTGTTGACAGCAGCGCCGCCCCGGCATGTTGATAGCCTCGGCCTCCCCCTCTTTCTTCTCTACTCTTTCTTCTCTTTTCTCTCTCTCTCTTAGTTTTGGGTCTGTTTTGATGCCGAAGATGAGGATCTGTGATACATTGTACATAGATTTCATTCTTTTTGCTGTGATGGAATCCTCTCTCTCATAGTCCTTGTTAGTGTCTGCTTCTCTCTCTACAACTATTCGTTGTTTCTTTCTATTTTGTTTTTCTTTGGGTCGAGTGAAGATGTGTATGTAATATGTACATGGACATGATTTCATTCTTTCTAACGACAGAAAACGATGTCTCTCAATTGTTACTGGAACCTTACTTGTCCATTATTTGTAAGCTTCATTCAATTTAGTTATGTTATGT